CCAGTTCAAATTTAGAACCAAGGGCTTTTTACTTTATTCATTGTACTTGTGTTTCTCTTTTCTCTATACCAGAAGTTCTGATTCTTAATGACAGGAAGAGATTACTCTTTTGCTGTATCCCATTGTATATAATAATCTCAGAGTGACAAACCAATGCACTCAGCAGTAATATAATTCCCAAAAACAATTTTAGATGTTTGTAGAATTGTTTTTTTCCCATTTGTGACATCCTATTAGAAAGTACAAATTATACATTTTTCAAAAATTTAGTTTTAAAGTCACTCGAAATAGTTTTCTGTTGGTTATGCCAACAACTTGATAGGTTTATTTCACTCCTTTTGCTTTAGATTTTACTGTTAGCTTTTCAAGTTTATATTTGTGTTATTTTGTATAGATATAGAAAATATCTACATGGTTTGAAAGTCAAATCCATAAGACAGAAGATATTCAAGGCAGTCTGGCTCCTATCCCTCTCCTTTCTGCCTTATGTCTTTATTCTCTCTATAATCATCACTTTTGTTTGGTTTTTATTTATTCTTACATTAAAAATATAAAAAGATTATATATAATATTCATAGCTGTATATTACATATACAAAATAGGATATATATTTATACTACTGTTTTTTAGATGAATAGAGGTATGTCAAGCATATTTAACCATGTTTCCTGCTGTGTATAGTTTCCATATGTAACTGTGTTTCCCAGGGACTATCTAGTACATGTAGATATTCTTCATTCATCATTTCAGCTGCATGGTACTCTCTTGTGTGGAGAGACCCATCGTTTATTCAGTCAATCCTCTATTGAAAAAAATTTTCTTGTTTTTTTACTACTATAAATAGTGCTATAATAAAAAGCTTTGTACATACATGTTTTCATATTTTTGCCAGTATATCTTTGATACAGATTCTGAGAAGTACAATTGCTAGGTTAAGAAATAAGTGCATATGTACTTTTGCTAGAAAAAGATTGCCAAAATTTCTCTCCATAGAGATTATGCCAGTTTGCATTCGCACCAGAAATGTGTCAGTGACTGATTCCTCACAACCTTGCCAATAGAATGTGCTGGAAAATTTGTACATTTTTCTAATCATAAGGTGAGCAATGTTATCTAATACATATGTCTCTTTTTTTAGAAAGTAATTTGCAAAACAAAAAAGTTGCAAGAATAGTTTAAATAATTTTTTTTCTAGAACTATTTGAGAATAACTTGCTGACATGTAGCTCCATAATCATGACCTGAATAACCTTTAGTGTGTATTCCTTTTCTGTCTTTTCTATCCTTCCTTCCTTCCTTCCTTCCTTCCTTCCTTCCTTCCTTCCTTCCTTCCTTCCCTCCCTCCCTCCCTCCCTCTCTCCCTCCCTCCCTCCCTCTCTCCTTCCTTCCTTCCTTCTTTTCTTTCTTTTCTTTCTTTCTCTTTCCTTTCAATATGGACTTGTTCTGTTGCCCAGGGTGCAATGGTGCAATCATAGCTCACTACAGCCTCAACCTCCTGGGCTCATGTCATCCTCCTGTCTCAGCTTCCAGTGTGCACCACTATGCCTGGCTAATTTTTATATTTTTTGCACAGATAGGGTCTACTGTGTATTTCTTAAAGACAAGGAAATTTTCCTACTTGAAGGGCAGTATCATCAGGAAGTTAATACTCACAAATTTCTACCAACTAATGGTCAGACCTTGTTCATGTTTTGCCAGTTGTCTCAATAATGTTCTAATAGAAAAGAGATATAGGATTACACAGTGCTTTTGTTTACCATGTCTCTTTAATCTTCTACTTTTAGTTGAATTCTGTGACTTTCACTCTTCTGTCTCTGGTTATTTTAAAGAATGTACTTCAGTTTGAATTTGTCTGATGTTGCCTCTTAGTTAAATTCAGGTTATACATTTTTGGCTGGAATATCACAGACATGATGCTGTGTTTTCTCTGCTTCCTCTCAGATGATACATAATTTCAATTTGTCCTATTACTGGTGATTTTAACTTATATTAATTAATGAAATGGTGTCTGCCAGGTTTCCTCATTGTAAATTTATTCTTTTCCTCTTTGTAATTAATGGTTATTTTGTTGAGAGACATTTTGAGGTGATATAAATAAATCATCTTCATCAAATTTTCACTCACTAGTTTTAGTATACATTGATGTTTCTTGGCTAAATTAATTATTACTTTGATAGTTGCCAAATGATGATTTTCTAATGTTATCTCTCCTTCTACATTAATTAATTGTCATTTTGCTGCAAGGAAAATCTGTTTCTTCTCTTTATTTATTTATTCATTTACTTATGTCATTATGAACTCATAAATCCCTATTTTATTTGATAGTTATAGTTCTTTCTTATAACTATTTACTTTGATGTTCAAATTGTTACAAATTTAGGCACTGAGAGCCCTTTAAAGTTGGCTTCGATATTTTTGTAATATGTCCCCATCATTCTGTGAGCATTTCTCTACTTAATGGCACAATAAGATGTTCTAGCTTATATTATACTTCTCTTGGCCCAGCCTGTACTCAGTCCTTTCTGTAAGGACCCCTTTTATTAGGAGAAAGGGATTTTAGAAATCAAAATTTGGACACTGGATGTGCTCATTACTATTGGTGTATAAACAAGAAGACTAGCAAACATGTGTATATATTCTTATAATCACACACATTTACATTCATATTATTTCTATCTAGTACATTGATATTTTTAATTAGAATCTACTACCAATGGGTTTGTTGTAGTTGTGTCTCTTTTATCTATTTGTAACTTCTTTTCTTCAGTGAGAAACCTGGCTGATTAACCTCATTGTATCTACAGTATTCCCCTCTTATCTGCAGGGGATACATCCCAAACCCCATACAGATGCCTGAACCCACAGGTAGTACTGAGTCCGATCACTGTCAGCTGGAACACATTTCTGTTCATGTCTTTGATCCACAAATTTAATGCCTTTACCATTTTAACTAAGCACTTACACATTGTGGTTGTAACATTTACAGTTTGAGGTGCGTCAGCAAGCCAAGCACAAATTTCTTGTTCCTTATTCACATCTTACAGATAGTTGATTTGTTCTTACTGTAGTTCTTAGCAACCTCAGCATACAATTTTGTTTTCTTTCTTTAAGTGGAGAATGTTCACTTTTTCACTTAAAGGAAGCACTTTACTGCTTCTCTTCGGCATAATGAATTGCCAGCATTACTACTCTTGTGCTTTGGTGTACAAATAAAAGAAATAAAATAAGGGTGACCTGCAACAATCACAGGAATACTGCATCAGGCAATGTAAAAACCAGGTGACTGACAAAATGACGAACAGAGTGTATACAGCATGGATTCCTGTTCCAGGAGGGATGCAGCAGACAGTGCTAGATTTAATCACTCCACTCAGAATGGTGCACAGCTGAAAAAGTATACATTGTTTATTTCTGGGATTGGCCACTTAATATTTTCTGACTGCAGTTCACGGAAAGTGAAAAACTGCAGATCAAGGGAGGCTACTGTACTGATTGTACCATTTCTGTTGGGTGCAACCAATCTTTCATCACCACTGATGCTCCCACTGCCCCTCATCCCACTCCTATGTAGATACCCTTTTCACCTTGCTCAGGTCCCAACATCCCACAGTAGGCCCTTCTCTCCCTGTTCAAGCTCTGGCACCCTGCATCAGGCCATGTAAACACCCTTCTGACCTGCTTAGGCTCCAATACCCCAGAGCAGGCTGTAAGCCCACCTCACCCAGCCCCCTGCAGGGATGCCTATCTTGCATAGCCCCTAATAGCTTTAAGATTGAGTAAGGACAAAAAGAAGTAAAGGCAGGCAGGCAATCAGAAAAGAAGGAAGAACTTTTATTTTTCTTATCATGGGTAAGAACGAACAGCTTTGTAGACACTTAACACACCACTTGTGTGTGTGTGTGTGTGTGTGTGTGTGTGCGTATGAAATGACAATATCTAGCAATTTTGCTATTCGGTTATTTGCTGGAGATCTCTTTTTCAAAAGGAGCACTTTATATATTAGGATTTTGTTTTGTTTTGTTTTGTTTTTGAGGCAGGATCTTGCTCTGTCACCCAGGCCGGAGTGCAGTGGCATGACCTTGACTCACTGCAATCTCAACCTCCTTAGCTTAAAATTAAGCAATCTTTGGGCTAGTCACAGTGGATCACACCTGCAATCCCAGCACTTTGAGAGGCTTAGGTGGGTGGATCATGAGGTCAGGAGTTCGAGACCAGCCTGGCCAAGATGGTGAAACCCCATCTCTACTAAAAATACAAAAATTACCTAGGGGCAGAGGTGGGCATCTGTAATCCCAGCTGCTTGGGAGGCTGAGGCAGGACAATGGCTTGAACTTTGGAGGCAGATGTTGCAGTGAGCTGAGATCACACCACTGCACTCTAGCCTGGGTGGCAGAGCAAAACTTTATCTCAACAACAACAACAACAACAACAAAATTAAGCAATCTTCCCTCAGCCTCCCAAGTAGCTGAGAATACAGGTAAGATTTTTTTATCTTTTGGTGAAGATGAGCCTCCTGCTATGTTGTCCAGGTTGGTCTCAAACTCCTAGGCTCACACGATCCTCCCATGCTGGACTCCAAAAGTGCTGGAATTATAGGCATCATTACCATTTTCCTAATGAAAGTAGCCTTAATATACTGTAATGTGATTCACTGTAATATACTTAATATACTGTAATGCAATTCACTGTAATATACTTAATATACTGTAATGCAATGCCACTGTGCTCAGCTGGGAATATTAACCTTTAATATGTAATGTGAGTTTCAAATTTGTTTCTGAATTTGTCATTAGTGTTTTTTTTAGTTATTATTTTGCCACACAAAGATTACAGATTTTTTCTTTTTGTTTTCAAATTTTGAGTCAATGTTGAGGGATGTGCTCCTTTAAAAAAAAAAAAAGCCTTGGTTGCTTTTTCATTGATATCCAAGTTAAATAGATGTTGGATTATGTTTTTGTGGGAAAATAACCTGACTCAAGTCTGTCTCTTCACACTTTCAGCTGGAGTTCAAGAGCTGGAATCACGTTTCCTGGTGCCTGGAGATTTATTAATTTTGACAGGGAACAAAGTACTAATGCCATGTGATGCCGTTCTGATTGATGGCAGCTGTGTGGTGGATGAAGGCATGCTGACAGGTACAGTTCCATCCCCACAGCTGACAACCTCTGTGGGCTGGCCACACTTCATGCTACTGTGGTCCCTGCTCCTCCTCTACCTGAGTGACAATGGCTGGCTGCAAAGCATCAGCTGCTATGGGACCTTCTTGTCTCCACAAATCTTACTTAGTCCTACTGTGGATAGATCTGAGGTTCAAATTAAAGCTCTTTCTATGTGTTAAGCTTGATACAATAATAAGTGTTTGCATGTTTAGTGTTTCTTTCTTGACCAAAAGATTATTACAGCTCTCTCATTTACTTTAAGAGATTGTAGAGATCATTAGAGCTTTCAGAATTGTCTGTTGCTTTTATGTTTGTTTATCTTAAATGAAACATGTCTTCAAATAAACTTGGAGGTTTTGAAAAGCATCAGCAACATCCTGAAACCCGTGAGAGTCATCCAAATTCTCCCTGGCCTGGCCTGAAAATGTTAAGAAATTCATGATGCAGCATTTGGTAAATCTGCTACTTCCAAAATATACCCTGGGTATTTTGGACTAACTGTAGTTCATTTTCAAATGGCATGCTGGAGCTGGGTAGGACCTGTGAGGTTATCTCACATCACAGGTATGGCAACTGAGGTCCAGAGAGAAGTGACTTGCTTAAGGTTACACTACCTTGATTTCTCACTTGCATAGCATAGTGATGAGACATTTGGCCGACACTGCTATAAAATAAAGAAGAACCATAAAGTAGTTCTTGGAGAAGAAATGAGAGGCTGTGAACACACAGAGACTGTGAATGCACTCTCATTGGTGGATTGTGGTTTCCATTCAAGTTCAAATCAAATCCATTTCTCTCAACACTCCAGAAAGACATATAATGGAGACACATGTACACACCTTCTTCCCATATTAGCTTACAAAGAATAAATGTGTGGAAGATCATGTCAAGTCAGGTTCTTTCTCCTCAAAAATCCATACATTCATAAAGTTCCTGTAATGCTGGGACCTTTGCAGTGCCAAGTGCCGTTTTCCTAACAAAAGTAGCCTGAATATACTGTAATGCAATTCTGACTTTATGTTGACCACTCTGCAAATGCCAGAAGAAGAGTTTAGAAACTTGTTCCTCAGAACAGACCATAGTTATTTCATGACTTCATTCATTATCTTGTATTAGCACTTCAAGCCTCTGCAATAGGTCCCTCCCACTGCACTGGCAAAAGTTGCCAGAGTCCCAATTGCCAAGTCCAATGGATTCTTTAAATTTTTTTCTTTTTGAGACAGAGTCTCACTCACTCTGCTACCCAGATTGGAGTGCAGTGGCATGATCTCCGTTCACTGCAAACTCCATCTCCCAGGTTCAAGTGATCCTCTCATCTCAGCCTCCCAGGTAGCTGGGATTACAGGTATGTGCCACCATGCCTGGCTAATTTTTGTATTTTTAGTAGAGATGGGATTTCACCATGTTGGCCAGGCTGGTCTTGAACTCCCGACCTCAAATGATCTACCCTCCTGGGCCTCTCAAAGTTCTGGGATTACAGGCATGAGCCACTGCACCTGGGCTGATTCTTTAGATTTCTCAACTTATTGTCCTCTCTGTTGCATTTGATTATTCCGACCAGCTCTGTTTCTGAAAACTCTCTCCTCTATAACTTTCTAAGATAATTCTCTGTCTCCAAATTCTTCTACCACTGAATATTCCCATTCAGTTTCTTCTGCTGTTCCTCTTCCTCCATCTCCTGAATTGTTGGTGCTGCTCATGGCTACATCCTTGTCCTTTCCGCTTCTCACCCTATACGTGGTCTCTAAGTAACCTCATCTGCTTCTGTGGCTTTAATTATCGTCTAGAAGCCAATGAGCTCTGGCTAAATATCTCTAGTCCAGCCCTCTCATTTGAGCTCCAAATCCAAATAAATCTCAAACTGCCAACAAGTCATCCCAACATGGTCATTCTTCAAGGCAGCTTCAACTCACAGTGGCCAAAAGACAATGCTTTCTCTCCTCCTATAATCCCTATTTTGAGGGAAAATGTTGCCCTCTGCTGATTCTCCCAAGTCAGGAACTGGAAAGGCATTGTAAATTTCTCTATCCCTGTGACCTGCCAATACGAACATTCTCTCAGGTTTTGTAGCTTCTTAATTCCTTATTTTTTTCCTTTTCTGAGACAGAGTATTACTCTGTTGTCCAGGTTGCAGTGCAGTGGTGTGATTTCTGCTCACTGCAACCTCCATCTGCCAGGCTCAAGTAATTCTCGTGCTTCAGCCTCCAGAGTAGCTGAGATGATAGGCACATACTTGGCTGGTTCTGTATTTTTAGAAAAGACAGGGTTTTGCCATGTTGTCCAGGCTGGTCTTGAACTCCTGGGCTCAAGCTATCTGCCTGCCTCTGCCTCCCAAAGCATTGGGATTAAAGGTGTGAGCCCCTGCACCCAGCCCCACTTCCTGTTTCCTGAATACAGTGCTTCCTTTCTATCCCCACTGCCAGCTGTCATAGTTCAGACCTCATCCCTTGCAACTGGGATTCCTGTGATTATTTCCCAACTGGATATCCAGCCTCCAGCCTCATCCGACTTTGATTCATTCCCTGTGCTGTGGCCAGTGTTCTCTCTATACATAAATATGATATTACTCTCATGATTAAAGTGGTTGAATCTCTCCACATCCTCCTTCAGTCACCAGTGCCTTTAGATATATGTGTGGACACTCAGTACTCTCCATGCTTTGGCTCTTACGTAGCTCTCATGGCCCTTTATTCTCTAAACTCCACATTCTGGACTGCACTATTGCGGTTCCCTAAATAGTTATTTCCAGCTATTTTGACATCCATGTTTGATTTACAGTACCCATAGTATTTATAATATTGTATTATACTTGTTTATATATCCATCTCCTACTCTAAACTACAGACCTCTCAAAAATAAGAACTATGTTTATGCTTATATCCCCGATACCTAGGGTTGTCTCTGCCACATGGTAGGCTCACAAAAAAATGTCTGTTGTATGATGAGTGGGTGCAGGCATGATTTAAATGAGGGAAGGCATCCTACCTCACAAAACGAGATGCTTGTTTTTCTGTAGGAGAAAGTATTCCAGTCACTAAAACTCCGTTACCCAAGATGGATAGCTCTGTGCCCTGGAAAACGCAGAGTGAAGCAGATTACAAACGGCACGTTCTCTTCTGTGGAACAGAGGTTATCCAGGCCAAGGCAGCTTGCTCCGGGACCGTGAGAGCAGTGGTGCTGCAGACTGGTTAGCATCGCCTCCTATGTGTTATTTTTAATGATATATTTTTGCCCAGTTTGTGTAGTGTCTTAAATTTATTAGGTAAGGAGAAGCCTTTTTTTTCTTTGTAATCCTATTATTTTTATTTTTTATTTTTGTGGGTATATAGTAAGCTGTATATATTTATGGGATACATGAGATGTTTTGACACAGGTCTGCAATGTGAAATAAACATATTATGGAGAATCGAATATCTATCCCCTCAACCCTTTATTCTTTGAGTTACAAACAATCCAATTATACCTTTTAAATTATTTAAAAATATGCAACTAAGTTATTATTGACTATAGTCACCCTTTGTGCTATCAAATAGTAGGTCTTATCATTCTTTCTATTTTTTTATTTTTTTGTACCCACAAGTAAGGAAAAGTATTACTTACCGGTACAAAACAAACCAAATATGTATAAATCCGTATTTTTTCAATATTAATTGAACTATGGCATATGCCTGTTAGTAAAAATGAGAGTATAGGTAACAATAATTATTATATATGTGCTTTGCAGTATATAAACTATTTCAACACGTCAAACAAGCAGAGCAGAGATGCTTACTGTTTCTACTGTGTCCATGAAAAGGCTGAGGCCACACAATTCAAATGAACTTTTAAAAATACCATGGCCAGCAATAGACAGAGCTGGACCTAGAACTCAGGTCTTCTAATCCTGAATCACAAGTTCTTTCTAGGCTGGGCTAGAAATGGAAAATTTAACCTTGCAAGTTTTAGAAAAGTGAGTCCATCAGTATTTACTAGACCCCTTAATTTTAATTCAAGTGACATGCCTGTATGTGCACACATTTGAGTCATTTTCCTAAAATAAAATTATATTTGGCAAAGCTGTGCAGAGCACCCAGTACAGTAGTTTCCTGTCTCTGGGACTCATTGAAATGGGAAGTAGAGGGAAGGAAGGCCAGAGAGAGTACTGGGCTCTGAGATAGATAATTCCATTCTATCATTTATGTATTTTTCTAATTATCTTTCAATTGCCTTTGAGCTTAAACACTGTTTAAATATCAATAGAGAAAAACAAAGGCAATGTTGAGGTTTGGAAGAGCACTAGCAGTAGTATTGGTCATCCTGAGAGTGTGGGATGTGTGTTTGTTGTTCCAGGATTCAACACAGCAAAGGGAGACCTTGTGAGATCCATTCTCTACCCCAAGCCAATGAATTTTAAGTTGTACAGGGATGCTATCAGGTTCCTCCTGTGCCTTGTAGGAACAGCCACTATTGGGATGATCTATACTCTGTGTGTCTATGTGCTTAGCGGGGTAAGCTGTCTTTGCTCTTTTACTAAATGCATACATATTCATCTATATATATTTTGTACTATACCTGTTGGCCTTAATCTAGGATGTGGTTTACAAACCTGGGAAATAAAGCCAAGAACTGAAACCTGTATATAGACTTCCAGATCCCAATAAGTAATTGATCACTAAGTTCCCTAATAACAAACAGATTTCATGGGATAGTGTGATAAAGCAGTTTATTTATTGATATATCAATATACTTCTCTTTTCTCACACTTTATACCATTTTTCCTTTTCAATATGAAAATATATTTATTTTCAGATATTCTCAGTGTGATATGATGGTTAAGAGTTCAGGTCAGGTTTCAACACCAGTTGTGTGACCAGAGCAAATTAATTAATCCCTCTTAATATCAGAGCTGTTACCTGTAACATGCTCATAATCTCAGAAAGTTGTGGTAAAGATTAAATGGGATAACATAAAGTGCTTCATTTAATGTCTAGCATACAGCAAAAGCTAATAATAATCAGAGTTACTTATAATTATTGCTCATTTTTTATTCAAATTCAGGTCACAATGATCTCTTCCACTCCTGTTTCTTTTTCTAAGTCCAAGGATATAATCTCATAAATAGAATGCCATTTCTTACTATCTTAACCTGAGAATATCTGAGAATATATTTACTTCAATAAAATAGCCTTTTTATAGGTATTGAGTGAAGGATTTTAAATCAAATCAGATACCCAGTTTTGGTGAGGTCCTGATAGACTAGTACGTTATTCTCTGTTAGTAACAATATAAATCACATGCTTTTTGAAATTGCTATTTGGCAAAAGATTCTGAGAGCTATAAACACGGTCATGCCTTTAACTCACTGACATCATTTCTTGAAATTTGACCTAAGGAAGTAAACAAAAAGAAGGAAAAGAGTCATATGCTGTTCACCAGTGATTTGCCTTTAACAATGAAAGAATTACTGTTGTCCAGGAACCTCCAGAGGAGGTGGTGAAGAAAGCCCTTGATGTTATCACAATTGCGGTTCCTCCTGCTCTACCTGCTGCTCTGACCACAGGCATTATCTATGCCCAGAGGAGGCTGAAGAAGAGAGGCATCTTCTGCATTAGCCCCCAGAGGATCAATGTATGTGGACAGTTAAACCTTGTTTGCTTTGACAAGGTATGTGTGTTTCATCTTTATTCTTCTCATCATTTTTACCATTGCTGTCATCATGTCTATGTACTTTTACCCTCTTGCAAGGCAGGAGACATGCAATGTGGGTACCCATCTTCATTTTATCCCTGGTTAGATGCATGATCTGGGAAAGATATGTCCCTTGAGCTCTCAGAGTCTAAGGTTTAGAGGATAAATGGGTACTAAATAAGAGGATCTTTTTGGGTCCTTCCAGCTTTAATATTTTGTGAAAGCAATTAAAATAGCATCCTGTTCCTCTCCAGTCAAAACCTTCATACAAAGAACAAAATTTAAAGCCTTTACTATCACTACTGTATCCTGGATGCTAAGAATATTGCCTGGCATATAGTTAGTGTGCAATAAATATGGATTGAATGAATGAATACAAAAGGAAGAGTTTATTAAACTGTGCCTTACTATGAGACTCCTATCAAACTTCTACTATATTTTCCCATTTGTAGTTTATTGCTTAAAATTACCCTTGATTATTTGTCAGTTATTTGCAACCAGCCTCTTAGTCTACCATCTCTTTATTGTGTTTATTTACTCTGTACACACATATGCTGGGGTGAAGGTGGGAGTTGTAAGAGGATAAGATGGAAATGCCTTTCAGGGCATTGTGAGCAGGTGAGCATGAGTCAAAGCATGGAGATAAGAAAGGAAAACAGTGTGGTTTTCACTAGAGCAGGATCTTGGTAATGGGAGGGGCTATCTGTGGACCTTGACTGTCTGGCTAAGAAATTGTTTACATATATTGTAAGGAGTAGAGAGTTATTGAAGCTTTTGTTGCTATTGTTGACTTTTTTAAAAAATTCACTTTTTAAATGTGGTAAAATTCATGTAACATAAAATTTACCATTTTAATCATTTTTAAGTACACTGTTTGCTGGCATTAAGTACATTCTCACTGTTCTGTAACCATCACTACTATTAATTTTGAGAACTTCTTGTATTTTCCCAAACTGAAACTACATTTATTCGACAGTACACTGATGGTTTTGGTAGTTAAGAATTAGTGGGATCAGGGCTGTATTCTATAATTACTGGAATATCAGAAAGATCTACCAAGAACAGAAAGCCAACATGACTGTTGCTACCATTTTTGTATTATTTTGTGATCAAACTAGCAATGTCAGAAATGGCATTCTATTTATGAGATTATATCCTTGGACTTGGAAAGAGAAACAGGATGGGAGAGATCATTGTGACCTGAATTTGAATAAAAAATGAGCAATAATTATGAATAATTATAATTATTATTAGCTCTTACTGTATGCTATATATTAAATAAAACACTTTATGTTATCCCATTTAATCTTCACCACAACTCTCTGAGATTATGACCATGTTACAGATAAGGGTTCTGATCTTTAAAGGAACTGAGCAATTTGCTCTCGTCAGACAGCTGGTGTTTAAAGCTAACCTGAACTCTTAACCATTATATTGCACTGAGAGAAATACCAACACTTTTTTTTTTAACCAAATAGGTATCAAACAGCAAACGATTTCTTTCGAGTCTTGTCACACACAGTGCCCTGTAGGTAAAAATTCTACTCTATTATTTATTTTAATGACGTATTTTAAATTTCTGCTATGAAACTAGGACTCTCCCATTTTATAGCTTTTATAGGCTTATCAAGGACTTTCCCATCCATTCAGTCTACCATTAGAACCTCAAAACAGACCTCTGAAGTTGTAAGGAAGACACTGCTTTTGTTGTTGTTGTTATGGTTGTTGTGGGGGACAGGAAAGTTGGAAAAGATTAAGTGCCAGCTTGTCAGACAACTGGCATGACCTCATCGACGCTTCCACCAGGCACTCTAGAGACCCACCCATGGTGCACCTCCTTGAAGTGTTGATCCTGTTAATATATTCGTGAAGTATTTTCCCATTAAAAAATACATTATTTGTCTATACTATGGTGTCTTCACTATGGGAACACTGTAATTTTTTTTTTTTTTTTTTTTTTTAATAGGGAGGCAGTCTCCCTATGTTGCCCAGGCTGGTCTCAAACTCCTGAGCTCAAGTGATCTTCCTGCCTCAGCCTCCCTAGTGCTGGGATTACAGGCAAGAGCCACTGCACCTGGCCTGGGTCTTCAGAGTAAATGGAGTATTTGTTTCTGTTTAGACAGGCACCTTAACAAGGGATGGCTTGGACCTCTGGGGAGTTGTGTCCTGTGATAGGAATGGGTGAGTACCTTGGACTAAATTCATCTTAGTGTCTCTTTTTCCAAAATCCCATCTTTTCTCTTGAAACTACTAATGGAGACATTTGAACTTTGGTGAACAATGATTACCAAAGTATTTTCTTTTAATTTCTCTTCTTGAATTCTGCAAAGCCTCAGTAAAACATGCACATTTCCCACCATTCCCAGGCCCAGTTCCATGCCACTCACAAATCCGGAAGATGAAGTTTTGACACTGCATTCAAATCCTTGCTAAAATGTAATTTGCTTTCGGCATGAAATTGACCCAGTATAAGTAATTTAGACATTACCAGGATATTGTCCTTTAAGGAAGTAACCTTCTTTGTACAAACTGAAGCCTCTTGATGTGATGGAGGATGAAAAACCCTGCACTTTTGTACACTGAATTTCAGGAAGAGGAACATTTGTAGAACTGTAGCAAGCATACTCATTTTTCTTGGTATTGTAATTTTGAGAACTCTACTTTCTGGTTGCTGGAAACTCCTTTCTTCCTTTCTTTCTTTCTTTCTTTCTTTATTTATTTCTCTTTTCTTTCTTCTTTCCTCTTTCTTTTCTTTTCTTTCGAGTTTCGCTCTTGTTGCCCAGGCTGGAGTGCAATGGCACTATCTTGGCTCATTACAACCTTCGCCTCCCTGGTTTCTGCGATTCTCCTGCCTCAGCCTCCCAAGTAGCTGGGATTACAGGCGTGTGCCACAATGCTCAGCTAATATTTGTATTTTTAGTAGAGACAGGGTTTCACCATGTTGGCCAGGCTGGTCTCAAACTACAGACCTCAGGTGATCCGCCTGCCTTGGCCTCCCGAAGTGTTAGGATTACAGGCGTGAGCCACCACACCTGGCCGAAATTCCTCTTTCCTAGCAAGAAAAGACACCGTTTTGGCAGTTTTCAGCACAGTGTGGTGAAGGTTTGCACATCCCTCTGCTGTGGCCCTCTTGTGGCCATGTTTGAGTTTGCGTCTCTGCCTGCTTTTTCTCCTCACTGGGAACTTCAGTGGGATCAGAACAGGAAAAGTGATGCACTTGTCATTTATGTTTTGTTTGAAAATAAAATTTTTTCCTCTAACACTTATAACTTAAATCACAGAGCATTTTGTACATGTGAGGTTCATTTTGGTTCTTTTGCATTGTACCAGATGACAAGTAATTTATCCATAAAATATGTTAATTACACATAGTTTAATAATTGTCATGTTAATATAGTATTTAGAAACAAGTCTAATTCCTGGATTTAAAAAGTGGTCTATGCTTCTAACCACTTTAGTCTACAGAAGAAGCCTCTTAAAATGTTAAACTCTAAAGTTCTTTTCATTTTCCCTAGAAGATAGATTTGGATATATACTTTGTCTCATGGTTCATTAGTGATTTTGTTTCAGCTTCTACAAAATATGTGTGCATTTAACCAAATATGTGAGCATCTTGAGAGCAGTCTTCTTATTTAGATTTGCATCCTTAGTACTGTAGCACTGTACCAGGCTCAAATAGTAGGTGCACAGTAATTGCTCATTTAAAATGAACTCAATAAGTTCTGCCTTTTGAATGTTCTACTTATTGAATTGACACCATATTATTCATAAAACTTTGGAAACTTTCTGTTTCTAAAACTGCTTTGTTACATTTAAGAAATAACAATACAGTGTTTAGGTAAATGATTCATTTACATACTTTAGGCCTGCCTCTTTCCCTCCCTTCTTCCCTTTCTCCCTCCTTTCTTCCCTCCCTCTTTTCTTCCCTCCCTCTTTTCTTCCCTCCCCCCTCCTTTCTTCCCTCCCTTTTCTCCCTCTCTCCCTCCCTCTCTTCCTCCCTCCCTCCCTCCTTTCTTCCCTCCCCTCTCTCCCTCTCTCCCTCCCTCTCTTCCTCCCTCCCTCCCTCCCTCCTTTCTTCCCTCCCTCCCTCCTTTCTTCCCTCCCCTCTCTCCCTCTCTCCCTCCCTCTCTTCCTCCCTCCCTTCCTCCTTTCTTCCCTCCCTTCCCTTTCTCCCTTCCTCCCTTTCTTTCTTCCTTCCTTCCTCTTTTCCTTTGTTCCTAAAGATCAACGTTGAATTCAGATAATTAAAACAACAATTTAAAATAAAAAATGGCAAATTTAATTAACAAAATAAGACAAAACAGAATTAATTCTAGGTAAGAAGTGAGCACCTGACTTATAAGCTATTAAATACCTTCTTGTTAAATGGGAGCTCATCTCTGATATTTCTTATGTTTTCCCAAAAGCCCTGATTGTTGTGCCAGTTACTTTAAGAACTCTTAAAGGCTATTAGGGATTGATAAACTAGAAACACTCAGATAAAAATGCACAGACAGGAATGCTAGAGAGCTTTATGTATCTGCTGTGCTAACCAGAGTCTGGCCCAATCTTCTGGAATGCAGAATTATACACTTGGAATTACAGACTGGTGACAGTGTACATCTCATAGTGCAAACACCCCATCTCTATTAAAATACAAAAAAAAAAATTTAGCTGGGCATGGTGGTGCATGCCTGTAGTCCCAGTTCCTTGGGAGGCTGAGGCATGGAAATTGCTTGAACCCAGGAGGCAGAGATTGCAGTGAGCTGAGATCCCACCACTGCACTGCAGCCTGGCTACAGAGTGAGATTCTGTCTCAAAAAATAATAATAAAAATAATAATAAGATTTTTTTTCCTTATATGTGTTTTGCTTTGCAGTATGAGCTTATTAAGTTTCTGTGTTAACTATACTGCTGGTGGTCTCTTCCTTTTAGATATTTACTAAAATATCATGGGGTATGTGGTAAACCACCAAGATGAGTTGCTCTTTTAACACATAATAATGAATATAACTAACAAGGCCAATATGAAGCCAGGATATTTTTGAACTTTTAGTGTGACAGAAGGAAGCTTGAATGCAAAAGCCAGGAAGCAATATGGCTGAATTGTGAGTTAATGTTGCAATATGCTTGCTTTCAAAACAAAGGGCTAGAGCAATTTAAGATTACCTTTAAATAAATGCAGTGTCCATATTATCAAAAGTAATTGATCCTGGAGACCACATTTCAAGACAAACTATGACAAATAAGAACTTTTCCCAAAAAAGAGGAATAAGGAAGATGAGAGGGAGGCCTGATAAAACTGTTATTAGAGGAACAGCTAGAGGTTCCTGTGCAACGCCAGAGGGAGGGTAAAGGGGTTGGCAGAGCTGATCCACAAGTTTGAAAGAAGCTGGCCTGCGGAGGAAGGGGAGCAAGTAGATTCTCAATGGATCCAGGAAGCAGATTTTGCCCCAATGTAGGATGGAACTTGCACCATTCAGACGTCCACCAAATAGGATAAGCTGCTTTGAGAAGCAGCCACTGTGCTGCACATCTCAGAAGGGGCTGAGGAATGAAGTAGCAGAGGACATGCTTCTTGTGACTCCAAAGCTGAATTTAACAGCCTCCACTCTGAATTAGTGAAAGAACCTTGTATTTAACATTTGAGTTGCATTTTAATAGATTTTTAGATGAGACCACTTTCTACAGGAAATGAAGGGGATAATGTTTGGGATATGGACACAAGAGGCCAGAGCGGAAGAGGGGGATGCAATGTTCTTTTGAAAAATGTTTTTAGCTGGGCACAGTGGCTCACACTGGTAATACCAGCACTTTGGGAGGGCAAGACGGGTGGATTACCTGAGGTTGGGAGTTCAAGATCAGCCTGGCCAACGTGGTGAAACCCCGTCTCTGCTAAAAATACAAAAAAATTATCTGGGCATGGTGGTGTGTGCCTGTAATTCCTGCTACTCAGGAGGCTGAGGCAGGAGAATCGCTTGAATCTGGGAGGCAGAGGTTACAGTCAACCGATCGTGCCACTGCCCTCCTCCAGCCTAGGTGACAGAGTGACAGGGTGAGACCCTGTATCAAACAAAACAAAAAACAAACCTCAGAGACCTTTCTCATACTCAGTGAACCTACTGGGCTGAATGAAGCATTATTAATGTGGGAGGATTGGAGCAACAAAGCATATTACCTTATTTTTTATAAGGATGTTTGTATACCTCCAAGTTGCTCTGTTTTGGCATGAGGAGATAGAATGGAAACCCATTTCCTTTTCTTTTTAAGCTTCCAGGAAGTTCACAGCTTTGACTCGGGCCAGGCTTTGCCATGGGGCCCACTGTGTGCAGCGATGGCCAGCTGCCACTCTCTGATCCTTCTTGATGGGACCATCCAGGGAGACCCTCTGGACCTCAAAATGTTTGAAGCCACCACCTGGGTAAGCCTCTGCCCTTCAGAGTATCTGAGAAGCTTCTGCAATGCCAGAGCAGCATAGGCAGTATCAGAGCTATCTAATTCTTATAAAAGCTGAGCTTTGCAGTGGGGAGTACACATGATAGTGATGGGCAAACTAATCTAAGCCTGGTTTCCTCATCTGTACAATGAAGCTAATAATAACATCTACATAATAAGATTATTGTGAGGATTAAATGAGATGATGCATGACGAAAATCCTTGGTACTGTGCCTGGCAAATATTAAAGGTTCAATCATATTCATATAATTGTAATTATTATGTAGTTATATCTCATCGCTCTATACTGTTCTCTGAGCATTGTCTGATTTCAGAGGTTTTCCAGAATATGGGGATTAGAAAATATTGCTTTCTCTAGTGCTCAGGATAACTCATAGTCATGATGACTGTAGCAAGTCTTATTCCTATTAATTTAGTATTGATTTTATTTCCAAGACTAGAAACAGCAAAAAGGAAAACAGTTGAAGAGCTTTTGTTGAGACTCTAAACTAGATTTAAGAGCCAACAGTATAGTTCAGGAATCTGGCTTTTCTGATTCTAGTTTTGGCTCTGCTCTGATTGACTGCTGAATCCCATTAGCTATGTCTCGTGTTGGGGCCTTGGGTCTCATGACCATAAAATGAAGTTGAATTAGACCAGTGGTGTTCACATAACACAAAACAAGTTTAAAAAATCTGGAAACTTTTCATAAAAGGAAACAGCCTTCAGAAACACTCTAAAGACTAAATAGCTGGAGTTGCTCCGGTTGAAATAAAAGGTGGGGACTAAAGATGGGGATTAGGGGACATGCATCCCCAACTATTTAGCTATAATCCCTTCCTTTCTCCCTGAGCTGCATACAGCTCTAGCCTCTGGTGGCACACTGGGAGCACCACTGGAAGAAACCATTTTCAGGGTCCCTTCCAAATCTCTTGGAGCATTATTTCATAGCAATCTAATGTAATTTTGCCAATCCCCCATCTTTTCTGGGTTACTGATTCCATTTCTTTAAATAGGGATTGCAGTTTCCTCTCTGGGATCTTGTCAGCCACTCAATGAGATGATTACAAAGCACTGCATTGTCTTCGGGTAAAAGGTCCCTTTCAGTATACTTTAGGGTCATTATTATAGCAATTACTGATTATTAACCATGTATATCACAGTCTCTGCCCTGCCCCACCCCTGCCCTGAGGACCATCCATCCAAATCAGACAGACATGCAAAGAGCAGGAAGAGCAGTGAAATGCAGGAAAAGAATGACAGAAAGGTGCTTGCTTCACACAAAAGAAGTACGGCCCTTCGTGCTCATGACTTTCAAGTTAGGTTCTTCAGAAATGGAGCATGAGCCTTTATACAGCACATTCAAACAGAGAAAAGAAGATAAATTGCATGAATAATTCAAAAGTGTCTGCCCTTCAAGTTGTGCAGCATTTTCAATGCATTATTTTGTGTGTGTGTGCGGCGGAATAAATCTGGTTCACCTCTGAGGGAAGAGACACGGAGAACATATTCAGGTGGTCTGAGGATTTTTTTCAAGGGGAGGAGGGTTCGAGCATAGCACCAGTGGGCAAACAATAAATAAATCTCTGCAATGAAATATCCTATTTGTGAAATAGGAAATGGCTTTTTCTGGGGATGATTTCCACATCAAGGGAGTGCCGGCACATACCATGGTAGTTAAGCCCTGCAGAACGGCCAGCCAGGTAAGCCTTGCTTGCTCTTCATCCCACAACACCCAAACTCAAAGAGAAGCTCTCTTCTGGCCCCCAATTTTTGAAAGGTTACAGATGTGTCTTTGAATTTCAGGTGTGAAAATGGGTGAGACCTTCCCCCTTATTTGCTAAAATAAAGATTAAGGAGGAAGTGGTTGATTCCCCGTAGCTAGAAGCTGTATCAGCATGTGCCTCTGTTTTCCCCCATCCCCCAACCAGGTCCCAGTGGAAGGAATCGCAATCCTGCATCAGTTTCCATTCTCATCAGCACTGCAAAGGATGACAGTCATTGTCCAAGAGATGGGAGGTGACCGACTGGCATTCATGAAAGGGGCACCAGAGAGAGTGGCCAGCTTTTGCCAACCTGAGACAGGTCTGTAGCTTGACTTAGATTACACTGGCAAATCTGTACCTCCAGATAAATATGCTCCTGCAGCATTTGATCTATGAATCCAACTGCCCGTGGGTCATCATCAATTGGGTGACTCATTGGCATTCCAATTTAATACGAAAACAAAGCTTGTCTTTCTCATTTCCTGTATTTCCCAGTTTTCTATTCTGGTGAATGGCACCACCATCCCCCACACCCATCCTGTTTAGGTATCATCCCTGCTCACCCTTAGTGCCCCTGTCTTATCAGTTGCTAATCCATGGTCCTTTACTGATCTACTCAGGACTTCATCATCCTTCATCACTTCAATAGTTGGTGGATTGACCCTCTGCCTCTAGTCTGCTCAACTCTGATTTGCCCTCTGTACTGTGACCAGATTTTTTTTGCAAAAAACTGATTCTTTTAGTTGCTCTCGTAGGCTCCAGTATAATCTCAACTTTCTTTAGGATCATATATAAGGTTTTCGGGTTTGAACTCCCAGTGAACTTTCCAGATGGGTCTTACCACTCCTCATCCTGTGCTTTTCCTGAACTGAACTAATTCTTCACAGCTTACTCTCATGCCTCCATGCCTAAGCACATGATTCTCCCTCAACCCCAGAACCTTCCTTTACCGAACTACCTCCTTCTAGGCTGGTATATACACCACTAAGCACTTTCCAAAGCATGCTGCAGTGGCCTGGATCATAGCAATAATCTCAACTGCGGAATGTAACTCAGTTAGACAGAAATCCTTAGAACAGAACTTGTGAGTTTTTTTCAATTTCATTCTTTTTTTTAACTTATATTTTAAGTTCAGTGGTACATGTGCAGGTTTGTTATGTTGGTAAACTTGTGTCATGGGGGTTTCTTGTACAGGTTACTTAATTGTCCAGGCATTAAGCCTAGTACCCATTACTTATTTTTCCCGATCCTCTCCCTCCTCCCACCCTCCACCCACGAATAAGCCCCAGTGTGTTCTTCCTCTCTATATGTCCATGTGTCCTCATTATTCAACTCCCACATATAAGTGAGAACATGCGATTTTTGGTTTTCTGTTCCTCTGTTAGTTTGCTAAGGATAATGGTCTCCATCTCCATCCAGGTCCCCTGCAAAGGACGTGATCTTGTTCTCTTTTACGGCTGCATAGTATTCCATCATGTATTTGTAGCACATTTTCTTTATCCAGTCCACTATTGATGGGCATTTAGGTTGATTCCATGTCTTTGCTATTGCGAATGGTGTTGCAATAAACATATACGTGCATGTGCATCTTTATAATAGAATGGTTTACATGACTTTGGGTATATACTCAGTAATGGGATTGCTGGGCCAAATGGTGTTTCTGTCTTTAGGACTTTGAGGTATCACTGCATTCTCTTCCACAGTAGTTTAACTAATTTATACCCCCCACACTCCCACCAACAGTGTATAAGCACTTATTTTTCTTCACAACTTCACCAGCATCTGTCATTTTTTGACTTTTTAATAATCACCATTCTGACTGGTTTGAGATGGTAACTCATTGTGGTTTTGATTTGCATTTCTTTAATGATCAGTGATGTTAAGCTTTTTTTTTTCCCCACATGATAGTTGATTTCATGTATGTTTTCTTTTGAAAAGTGTTCAGGTCCTTTGCCCACTTTTTAATGAGGCTGTTTTTTTCTTCTTGTAAATTTTCTGCAAGTTCCTCATAGTTGCTGGATATTAGACCTTTGTTGGATGCATAGTTTGCAAAAATTTTCTCCTGTTCTGTAGGTTGTTTATTTACCCTGTTGATAGTTTCTTTTACTGTGCAGAAGCTCTTTAATTTAATTGGATCCATTTGTCAATGTTTGCTTTTGTGGCAATTGCTTTTGGCATCTTCATCATGAAATCTTTGCCCGTGCCTATATCCAGAATGGTATTGCCTAGGCTGTCTTCAGGTTTTTATAGTTTTAGGTTTTAAAAGTCTTTAAGCCATGTTGAGGTAATTTTTGTAGTTGGTATAAGAAAGGGGTCCCGTTTCAATCTTCTGGATATGGCTAGCCAGTTATTCTAGCACCATTTATTGAATAGGGAAACCTTTCCCCATGCTTGTTTTTGTCAGTTTTGTTAAAGATCAGGTAGTTGAAGGTATGAAATCTTATTTCTGAGTGGAGAGCCTGTGATTTAATCTCTACATAGCCAATGCCTGGCAGATAAGAAACTCTTAATAAATGTTTGTTGGTTAAAGTGAAGAAAAAATAATTCTACACTTTCCCTGTCTTTTTTTTTTTTTTTCTTGTTTCAAATGCTTCCTTCTCATTTTACCTTCGCTAGATCTGGATAGGTCCACCCTGACAATGTAGTTATGTTTAGAATTTCCACTGACTTGTTTACATATTTTTGTAGGGGTGTGTTTTTTTTCCTTTGGCAAAAGTTGGATGCTTGTAAAGAATTTCTTTGCCAGTAATGCCTAAGTAAATACTGCATACTAACTCCATGTTACTTTCTAAACAGTACCAACTAGTTTTGTTAGCGAACTTCAGATTTACACGACACAAGGCTTTCGAGTCATTGCACTGGCCTACAAGAAGCTGGAAAATGACCACCACACCACTGCCTTGGCGAGGTAAATAGGGATGATTTTGATAAAGCAGAACGGTTTGATGGAAAGATGTGCCAGACTGGAATGGCAAGTGCATTAGACTGGGATGGACTCAGTGAGGGGTTCTGGGTGGCAGACAGAGCACTATGGTTTATCTGCATGCATAGCGTGTCTCCGAACATTAGTAAACAGGGATATAATAATCCCTGCCCTTCTTAAATCACAAAGATAATGTGAATTCTGACTGGGAGATTTTATGAGAAATAGTCATATAAGATGTAAAATATGGTATGATTTTCACAGCTTTGTGAAAACAGATACAGGAGTATAATGAGCATTTCAGAATTCAAAATTGTGGTCAGCCCCCCCCCCCCCATTAAATAAATTATAGTTGGTGGATTGGTTGGGAGTTACGAAACATAACATTTCGCTGAAATACTTTGTGATAGGAAATACACAGCATAATGAAACAAATAAATACAGCTTAGATGATATAATCTTGATAACGTCTACTAAAAAGGAAAACTTCTGAGGTGCCATACTAGAGAAAGATTTTAATCTATAGATTAACTTTTATATTTTAAAATTAAAATAGAGATGCTTAACAGATTTTAAAAACTTCAGTATTTGGAGTTCAATTTTATTTTACTTTTTAAAATTCCACTCTTTTCAGGTATGTTTATTTCACCTTTCATGTCATTTCTAACACTTAATGTCAGCCACTCCTGGTTATACTGTTGTGGAACTAATCCAGGCTCATTTTTAAATTCAGCATTTTACATTTGGAAAGTCTAACATCTTTGTTTCAATCTAATCAGACTCAACATTCTCTTGTAACTATATGTTGTAACTCTTAGTATTCTAAAATAAAGTTCACATATAACATCTGCCCATATTTTTTGTAAAATATATAATGCTTTATTATATGGTAAAAATAAAAGCAAAAGATATGTTTCACAAAAGTGATAGTTTAATAAATGCTCAGCTGACTTTACTAAAACAAAATGAAGTAATAAATTGCTTGTACCTGTGTATAGAATAATTGAGGCTGCAGCATCTGCAAATTCAGATTGACACAAGTGTGTTATGTATGGCAGGCTCAAATACCTCAGTCTTGCTGCCAGTGAGGTGACTGTGAAGTGGTTAACAAGTCTTGGTAAAACTCTGAAGGACACAGTACAATCTCCTCCCAATTTACATAGTACAGGTAGTTACAATTCTGCAAAATGCAACAGAATATGATAAATGTGAAAAATACTTTTTGTTTATATGTAAGACATGTAAATGGGGGAAGCTAGTAAAATTTTAATAAACAATTTTGTGATTATTTAATATAATATAGTAATATTATGTATGCCATAATAGTACAGTATATAATAGTATAATAATAGTAAAATGTATGCAGTACAAGCCTAAAATTACTTAGGGAAATACAATAATTTTTTCGGTGTCCATGAATGTCCAGTAAGATATTCAAAAGACATGTGGGATGCAGGATAATTATTCATTGTGCATTAGTCTTTGCAGAAAGTCTTATGTAGATGCCAAAAAAAAGAAAAGAAAAGAAAATTCCACAATGTCCTCTAGAGGGCGTACTGTCCCTGCTGTGACCCACCCCTCTCACTTTGTGAATGGATAAAACGAGGCCCAGAGCGGGAAGAGGTTCCTGGGCTTGTGGACCACTCTCCCCAGGGGCCAGTTTAATGTGACCCTTGAAACTTTGGCTACTACAACCCTGCATATTTGCTGTAATTTGATCAACTTAGTTCAGGGTCACTCAAGTGAGGGAGCTAAAAGTAAACTTTGAGATGGGATATCACATTTTGAAGGAGAGGAAACGTGGGTCCAGGGAAGGGAAGGGACAGAGCAGAAGTGGGAAATGAACTTAGTTTCCTGAGAGGCTGTTGCCAAAGGCTGTAGCAAGATTCTGGCTACCATGCTGCTGCTTCTAATTGTTGTAATATGATATTTGCATATTTACAAGTTGTGAATTCATGGTTTTGAAATGCATGGATATAAGAAAGCACATCCTGTGGAGACACACGAGCAATGGGGAATAGTGAGGGCTGCGGTGCACAGGAGAGTACGTGTCCTGGTGAAAAGTACTGAAATCCTCACTTTTTAAAATCTTGTATGATCTAAACACAAATCACAAATTCTCTAACAGGATTTGATCTTAGGTCACTAATTTGCCTCTCCTGTCTTAAAAGTATATCACCACTATGCATATGCATACACACAGCTAAATAAATGTAATTATCCTGTGTGAATTCCTAACTAGGATGAAACATTCTTGTTGTTGTTTTGGGTTTGTGTGTATGCGCGTGTGTGGTTACTCATGGTGCTTCCAGCATTGATATCATAATCTCTTCAAAGGCCATCGGCCCACTTTATGCATATTTCATCTTTTAAAAGTCACGGGGATTTTAAGAACATGAAATGTGATCACAGGGATGGCAATGCTTTCTATATGTTATGTTTATTGTTCTTTATTATTTTAGATACTTAAGGAGGAGGCATAAGGTCTATGCAGGAAGCCAGAAGAGATAGAATGCCATTCCAAATTGCAGAGCTTAAGACCCCTTAATGAATTACTCCTTTTAATTTTTTTGGTTCAGACTAAATTACTCAGGTAATCTTAGAGCTAGCAGAGACTTTGGAGATGCAATGATGAACTTGATTACCAGACAAAAAATGTGATGTACTCATGTTCACACAGCAAGGGAGGGGTAGGCCTGAGATTAGAACTCCAGTCTCTTGATTATTGTGCCTTGAACCATGCAAAAGCCCTAAGCCAGAGGAACTAGAAATCCTAGTGTCAAGGTAGGCCATAGGCTCTGCTATGGCGGATGTTTGACCTTGCAGCCATTTTCTTGACCTAATCTGGCACTTTGTGGTTGGCTCATGTCATGTCATCTGCAGAAATATCCAAGGCCTGGGGCCTGAGTAGCAGGACCATGAGAAAGATTGGGCGAACCTGTTGTGCCAAACCCACACTCACTTCAGTAGGGAAAGCATCAGGTTCAGCAGGCTGAAGAAGAGACTCAGAGCCAGCAAATGATACATGGGGTTTTATTAGGGGCTCACCTCCACGGGAGAGAGTCCAGTGACAGCGGTGTGGGCAGGAGAAACACCTGACATATAGAAACAGCCCAGTGGCAACAAAGTGGACAATGCATCTGCCTTCCTATACTCCAGTGGTGGTGGGCTAGACAAGAAACTGGCCTGGTGGCGGTGCGCTGCACAGGAAAGCTGCAGCTGCCTGCAAACATCATGCAGTTTGCACAGCATTTTCACTTGACTCCTTAATGACCTCCATCCGGCAACCTTCATCCAACTCAGGGCCTCAGTCCCCTGATAGCCTGGGACATGCCACTAGATGAGAAGGGAGTTCAGAATTTCCTCAGAAACAAGGAACAAATCTCTGGGTTGGCCACTCCCAGATTTCCTAGCTTGGAACATACATTCAGGTGCATCTACTACAGAGAGTCATTCTAAGAGTATGCTTAAGCAGTATTGCTACCAGGTGCGTTTACCCTGTAAGACAATCAGGCATCAACCAAGTTATCCTTCAAACATCAGATTAAATATCATCTTCTACAGGAAGCCTTCTCCAATCAGCACACCCAGAAATGATTGCACCCTCCTCTCTGACTCCGTGGCATTCTGATTTGGACATCTGTCATAATACTTTTCCCAGACTTCCACTCAACAGAATGAGTGATGTCTAATTTCTACCTCCTTATTGAATGTAAAATCTCTGAAGTTAGAGGCTACTATCATCTCTGCATATTCTCTTCCACTTTTCCTCAGTGCTGTTCATTGAACTCAGTAGAATTTCTGAATGAGGAATTTCCCTAGGTTACCTGGCAAAATGTGGCCCCAACAGGCCTCATAGCATTTCAGCTAGACACCATTTACTGAGTACTCACTGTGTAACTGGACACCACATGGGTAGTGTTGAACACAGCATTGAGTCAGGTGCGATTGTCCTCAAGGAGTTCCGACAGTGTGACAAAGCAGAAAGCCAAGGCTCCCAGTTTCCTGGGAGCATCACTGACTCTAGTTCATGACCGTGGCTGATGTGAGACCCACTCTTGAGACAGGGAAGGAGTTTTAGTGGGTGCCTCTTTCACCTATTATTTCAGCCAGTGTTAGGCAGTGCTGGTGTCTTGTTCTCTGCTTATGTCTAAGATAAATAAATCGTGGAAGAATCTTTGAACTCCTGATCCCCAATGTACTCCCCTGCACTGGGTTCTGTAGAATGTCCCTGAAGATATTCTTGGGGTGGATAGGAGCCTTGAAGACTGCCCTTTCTTGCAGAAACATTCACGCTTGATGCAGAAGATCATTGCTACCACTGGGGGAGAAAGAAAGGGATGAGCTTGACCTGAATAGAGAGGGCTGTTTGTTGAGATTATGACCTCATACCTCCTTGGGCTAAAATAATATTGATTACAGACTTGCCTGCTAGAGGAACTGGCATTTTATTATATTTTTCTTGTGCCTCCTTTATTTTTCATGTTTTGTACCAGAACTAAAACTCCCCTTTGTGGTTAACAGGTGAGGTAATGAAAATCAGGCTAGCCACAACAGGTGGAGGAGAACCTTACAGGCTTTCAGCTCGTTTTCTGCAAAGGTTAAAGCAAAGCTTTTGCTTAATAAACAGTCTCTTCCTCTTCATGCAGTTAGACTGAGTCAACATCTCCAGAGCCTTTGTGTCCTCTTCTGTCGTCTTTCTGCATCATTCCTGGTCCATAATTGGCGCCTAACTAACAGTGCTTGAATGAGCATATGGAACCACTATGACAGGAGTCTTTTTCCTGTCATTTTCCTTCCTGTAAGAAAGCAATAATGTGGCCGGGTGTGGTGGCTCACGCCTGTAATCCCAGCAACCTGGGAAGCTGAGGTGGGTGGATCACTAGGTCAGGAGTTCAAGACTAGCCTGGCCAAAGTGGTGAAACCCCGTCTCTACCAAAAAATACAAAAAAATTAGCTGGGCGTGGTGGTGGGCGCCTATAATCCCAGTTACTCGGCAGGCTGAGGCAGAGAATTGCTTGAACCTGGAAGGCGGAGGTTGCAGATGGCACCACTGTGCTCCAGCCTGAGGAACAGAGTGAGACTCTATCTCAAAAACAAACCAACCAACCAACCCAAGAATTAGCCAGGCTTGGTGGTAGGCGCCTGTAATCCCAGCTACTGGGGAAGCTGAGGCAGGAGAATCGATTGAACCACTGTTCTCCAGCCTGCATGACAGACACTCCATCTCAAAAAAAAAAAAAAAAAAAAGAAAGCTGTAATGTGTTATTTCTGTTCAATACATCTATATATGTATTTTCAGAGAGAAGGTAGAATCAGACCTGATATTTCTGGGGCTACTGATCTTGGAGAATAGATTGAAGGAAAAGACAAAACCTGTCTTGGAAGAGCTCATCTCAGCCCGGATAAGGACTGTAATGATCACAGGTGAGTTCTTACAAACAGTAAGAATTTGACATGGAAATAGACACAGTTCACTCACTTAATAAATATTGCTGACTACCTACGCTGGGCCAGACACCATTCCAGGTGCTGGAGATGGGCAGCAAAGAGGCGGAGTTACTGCTTTCCCTGAGTTTCCATGTCAGTTGAATGAGAAAAAATCAACCAGTCAATCAAATAGCATCAGCGTTCTGAGCTACGCAAATAGGATAATGTGGGAAAGTGTGTTTGACTACCTGTTTTAGATGAGACGGTTAAGAGAGGCCTTTCTGAGAGGCGACATTCAAATTAAGACCTGAATAACAAGAAGACGTGAGCCAGGCAAAGATGATTTTTACTGTCAAATGTTAGAAAAAGAAGCATCCTTAGTTGATGGGGCCTATAAACCATGCTGAAGGCTCATCAATCATAAAATCTACTATTCTAGAAATTTAAGAAAATGCTGTCCTCTCTACTCCTAATCCCCAAACTCCAAATCATACAAACGAGAGCAATGAGAAGGAATCACGCAAGAGAAATGTGTGAATTTTCTTAATGAAATTAAGTGTGACTTTATTAATGAAATTTCACCCTGATGCTATAATTTTTTAATTAGAAAAAGAGACTAGAGGTGAATAAATGATTTCCTAATGAATTCATGTTCACATTTTTGGGATGTGTATTGCCTTTCTTTTCTCTGCTTTGACAGTCAGATGTTTTTAACATGAAGATACATTATTTCCCCATCAAAGCAGGCTCTTCATGTCCCCACTTCCCCTGAACCCAATTCTACAGTTGCAAACTCTAGAATATTTTTATTTCCTCTTTTGTACTTCTCTGTCCCCCGTTTTACTTCCCACAATCCAAGAGTCTTCTGAACTACTTTTACTTTTTCCCTTTCTGGCACCCCAATCCAACTTTTTGAAGTTGCTGAGTTAATTTACTACTTAGTAGGATTTTCCTTACATTATGATCATTCTGTTTCAAAAATCTTTATCTAGCACTTGCATGACACATTCTCACAATCTATCCTTAACTTGTTTATCTACAAGAGTTCATCATTCGCCCTCTCTCTTTTCTTCTGCTTTTCTCATATTGAAATTTCTGCTCTGTTTCTTTTCTTGTTTGTTTACAATTTTTTCCCCTCAAGTATTGCCCTTGGATGGAATAGAGGGGTGATATGCTCTTTGATTTCTTACATATACTTGAATATCTTACTTTGTTCTGACAGGTGAATGATATCTTGCTCAGATATAGGACTCTTGAATTATTGTCCTTTTTTCTTAATGATCTATATGTAGAGGCTATTCATTTTTCTTTCTGGCTTCTGATATTGCACATGACAAGTGCAGTAACTTATTCGTTTCTGCACATAATCTTTTTTTTTCTTTTTTTTTTTTAAATTGAACTTTAGGTTCTGAGGTACATGTGCAGATCATGCAGGACTGTTACCTATGCATTAACTTTGCATAGGTACACACATGGCAATGTGGTGTGCTGCCTCCATCCCCTCATCACCTACATCTGGCATTTCTCTCCATGTTATCCCTCCCTACCCCCTCACTGTTCCTCCCTTGGCTCCCCGCCAGCAGACCCTAGTGTGTGATGCTCCCCTCCCTGTGTTCCTATGTTCTCATTGTTCAACACCCGCCTATGAGTGAGAACTTTCAGTGTTTGATTTTCTGTTCTTGTGTCAGTTTGCTGAGAGTGATCGTTTCCAGATTCATCCATGCTCCTACAAAGGACACAAACTCATCATTTTTTATGACTGCATAGTATTCCATGATGTATATGTGCCACATTTTCCTTGTCCAATCTATTGTTGATGGGCATTTGGGTTGGTTCCAGGTCTTTGCTATTGTAAACAGTGCCACTATGAACATACATGTTCTGCACATAATCTTTTTAACTTTGGAATTTAGAAATGTTTCCCTTTGCATTTGCCTTATTTCATTAACTTCATCTGGAACATGGAGAGCACTTTTAGGAAAACATTTTTTTAAATCATTTTTGTGACATAGTCTTAAGTCAGCATAATATTTGTCACTTTGAATGTTATACATATGATAAAACAGATTGCAAAAAGTATCATATTTACAACAAGAACGTGAGTTTATGTAACTGAATCACCAAATATGTAACCTCTTGTAACAATTACTTAATGGTCTTAACTCTGTTCTCTGAATGGACCAATTTTTTGATGATTCATTCACTTAAAAAGTTTTGAGTTGAGTACAGTTTCTTGTTGCTTCTTTCTGTGATCCAAGGCTTTAGAATCAATCCCTGGAAACCGGTGATTAGAACCAGACTTCCCTGACATCAAGAAGAGATAGGAGTAGGAGACACATGGAGAGCACTTTTTAAATCTTTCTTCCTGCCAGAAAAATTTTCCCTATTGTTTATTTAATTCTTGCCTCTATTCTCTGTCTTTCTATTTTCACTTCTGGAATTTTCATTATTATCTATCCTCTCAGTCTATCTTTTTTACTCGTAGTTGTCGTATTTTATTTATTTATTTTTTAGAGACAGGATCTTGCTCTGTTGCCCTGGCTAGAGTGCAATGGGTTGATCATAGCTCACTTTAGCCTTGAATTCCTGGGCTCAGGTGATCCTCCTGCCTCAGTCTCCTGAGTAACTGCGACTGCAGGCATGCCCCACTGTGCCTGGCTTTAGATTGTATATTTTTATAATTTTGCTTTAAGACTTTTTCTTTTTTTGCACCCAGTTTATTCAAACCACGATCTTAGGTCTCAACAATGCTCATTATCTTTTTCAAATCCCTTTTTGAGTCGTTCAGGTTTTAAATCTTGTTATGGGGTGGGAGTTGCTCAAGAAAATGTTTTTTGCTGCAATTGAGTTTTCTTAAGTGCTTTCCTTATTTTTAAAGCAGGTTTCATCTGTCTCCAGCAGCTTCTTGACTTCACTAGTCATGAGCTCTGATTGTTCCTCTTGATCTTTCCTGTTCAGCGTCTCGGATTTTTTAGATAGGTTGTTAGATTTTTTTTTTTTTTTTTTTTTTTTTTTTTTGGTCAGATGATTGGTGCTCAGGCCTGGGATGTTTATCCTGATCAGTGGATCTCTCACAGGTGGTAGATGGCAAAAAGCAGACAGGCTGTCAGGGGTCTGCTGAGGCATGTTCGGGGCTCCCTGTATCCTTCCAGCCTCAGGTAGCTCCTTCCCACCACTTCAGCTCTTTTGAGAATCTTCGTACACATTTTGGTAGAAAACTGGGAGAAGCTATGTTAAGGATAGCCAGCCAGATGTTATATGATTAATTTTTTAATGGTTGCTCTCGGAATCACAACATACATCCCTTTCCTTTCAAGAAGGCTTATAACCAGGAATATCTCTTGCTTTCTCTCCTTTATGTCGTTATTGTCATAGTATGACATATGTGGAAAACCCCCACCAGATAGCGAGATAGTCTTTACTTTCAATACTGAAGTGTTAAAGAACACGACTAAAGAAAATTAGACTTTTATATTTACCCAGATCATTATTATTTCTGTTTCTGTGTTTTCACTCCTTAAGTTACAAGTTAACCTCTGGTATCCTTTCCTTTCAACCCGAAGAACCCTGTAGCTTTTGTTGTTGTTGTTTTTCTTTTGAGCATGCCCACTTTTGACCAATTATCTTCATTTTCTTTCATCTGATAAAGTCTTTGTTTCTCATTTATTCCTGAAGGATAATTTCAGCGTCTATAGGAGTCAGAGTTGACACTTCAAAGTGAAAGGTGAAGTCAACACTTCAAAGATGTTGTTCCACTATTTTCTTCCCTCCGTATTTTTGATGAGAAATCTGTGATAATTTGAATTACTGTTTTCTTATACCTAATGTGGTTTTCTCTAACTGCTTTTTTGTTTATCTTTGATTTTTAGCATTTTAATTATTATGTGTCTGCTTGTGATTCTCACCAAGTTCATCCTGTTTGGAAGTCACCAGGTTTTCTAAAATCATACTTGGAAAAATTTCTGCTATTATGTTTTCATTTTTTTTCTTTTTCAACTTTTTTCCTCTCCTTGGGCTCTAATGACATGAATACGAATTGTTTTGATATCTTTGAGTCTGTTCATTAAAAATATTTTTTCTCTCTGTTCTTCATTGCATAATTTCCATTGATCTATTCTACTATTGAGTGCATTCAGTGATTTTTTTTTAAATTTCAGGTATTATATTTTTAAATTCTAAAGTATCTATTCAGTTTTTTTCCTACAGTTTATATTTCCTTGTTGAGAACTTCTATCTTTCCACCTATTTCAGGAATATTAACGGTTAACACAGGAAGAGGGATTATAATAGGTGCTTTAAAGACCATTATCTGTCACTTCCAACATTTAGGTTATTTAGGGATTGGCAACTGTTGTGATTTTTCTTGAAAATTGGACAGATTTTCCAGATTTTTCATGTTGAATAGCCTGAACATTTTGAATATTATGTTGTGAAATTTTGAATCCTGTTATAATCCTCTGGAGAATGTTGAGGGTTTTTTTGTTTGTTTGTTTTTTTGGCTAGCAATCAACCATAACCTCTATATTTCTTGTTGTAGGTGGTGGTTCCAATATTAGCTTAACTATAAAATCTTTTACTGTGATGTTTGGGTCTGCCTCATTCAGAGGTTACTCTCACAAATGGGGTGATTTATATCATAGTTTAATTCCTGAAGCTTTTGTTATCTTTCTTTGGATCTGATCCACACACGCACAGCTCTAGGCTGAATTTGAGACTTACATAATTCATATACTGAATTAGTCCCCGTGTCTGGCTCTCTCCTTTCCAGGATTCTTCCCATGCTCTTTAGCCTACAAGTGTCCCTTTTCCTGGCTCCTCTGGCCAGAAAGACTGGGTGTCTTTTGGGGTTCTGCTGCCCACACAGCTTCTTAACTTAGGCTCATGTGCCAGTCAAATATGGAAGAGGGAAGAGAAAAAAAGCTGAGAAACTCATTCCCTTGTTGGTTGCTTCTACAACTTTGACTCCCTCCCACCATCTGCCTGCTTTTGTTTACTTTTCAAAGTCCTTGGGGAGTTGCTTCTTGGTTTTTGTTCAGAGTTTTCCATTGTAATCAGCGGGAGATTGTAATCAATGGAGTTTTCCATTGTAATCAGAGAGAGATGTAGTGGGCTTACTCCATTTTGACTAGAAGTGGAACCACCAGATACTCTACTAAACCAGAGGATTTGCCTAAACACTTGGAAAGCTGCTAACAAATGATGAAAATAGATTTGGATTTTGCTTTTTCATTTTCTCCCTTAGTCTGGCAAAAACACACTGGTAGAATATGAAGTAACTTGATGAAAATCAGTAAGAACCAGAAAAGGGATCATGGAGTCACAAAGGTCAGGGCTGAAAAGATATTAGGGATCATTTCTCTTCATACCTGAAATAAGGACTGAACTCCCCACGCTGGTTTTCTAGGCTCTGCATGAATTAGTTCTATTTCGCCAGCCTCATTTTGAGATGCTCCTCCTTTCCTCTAGGTGACAATCTTCAGACTGCCATCACAGTGGCCAGAAAATCTGGAATGGTTTCTAAAAGCCAGAAAGTCATTCTCATTGAGGCAAATGAAACCACTGGGTCCTCATCGGCATCTATATCTTGGACATTAGTAGAAGAAAAGAAACACGTTACGTATGAGAATCAGGTATTCCTGAACACGAACCTTCTGCCACATTACCAATGTGTCTCACAGTGTTGGTGACTAAGCAGTTTTGACCTAGAGTCAACATATGCTTCCAAGTTTCTAACATATATGCTGTTGAATGAACTCAATTACATTGGTTTTTCCATACTTTTCTTACTGAGCTTGAAGATATAGGGCTTTCCTGTGTGCTGGAAAGAATCCATCTTTTAAACTTAAAAAAAAGGTTGGCCCTATATGAGAAAGAATGTAGTGAGTGGAGCTGAATCTAACTTCTCCCTTTCCTCTTGCTTGTCAACCACCCCACTGGGTTAAAAGGGGGATCCAGTTCTTGGGAGAGATGCTGCTGTGTGTGAAACTTTTTTTCTCACCATGAAAACACAGTCAGAAAAATCAGACTGTGTTTTCAGGGTGAGAAAAAAAAGTTTTATTCATTTATTGCCAGTCTTGTCAGTATTCAATCTCCATTGTATCCTTGTAGAACAATATTAATTCCCTAAGGAAAAAATAGTAAGTTATCATTTCAGGGAGAAATTTGTTAAGCTGCCGTGCTTTTGTATTTTACACTTGAAATGTGTGAAATGTGCTCTTCTCTGGGACTTACCAAGATCAAATCAGGATGAAAACAGGACATGAGTAAGTGTTATCCCCCTGTTCACTAGCTGTCTGTGATGTGCAAAGACTGATCCAGCAAAAGGAAAATGCTTCTCTGAGGAATCAGAGTGATCTTTACAGAGAGATCCTGGGCTGTCTTCACTATCTTCTCTCAGATATGCTTGTAGTTCTAACCACTCTGTCAAATGAAGGAGTCTAAAATAACTGTGTCTTGCTTTGTAGGACAATTACATTAACATCAGGGATGAAGTCTCTGATAACAGCAGAGAAGGAAGTTACCATTTTGCCCTAACTGGAAAATCCTTTCATGTTATAAGTCAACATTTCAGCAGCTTACTGCCAAAGGTAATTTCTAAGAGGGTAACAATCTCCCTGTGAAAATGCTGATGATATCACTTACAGAGCATGCTTGTAAATTATTTCAAATCTTGAAACAGGTAAAACATATTCAGTGAGTTCTCTGTGTCTTAAGAGGGACCAACATTTTTGTAGAGGATACTATTGTCTCATTTCCTACTAGGTTTGAAATAAATAAACTTGATTAGTCAATTTTCCACCATCTATATGATTGAAGTGCCAGTGATTTCTTGAATTATAAAGATGATTTTAGGTGGCTTTCATTATATTGCCCTGGTAACGGGTCTCAAAGTGTAGTGGAAACCCTGCAATTATACAGGAAGGCAGACCAAGAATAAAGGAACACCATTAGATTTTTGATAGATGACCTCTGTACTCAAGAAGGTCAAACTTAAAGCTTTAGTAGGGGAGGAGGTAAGTTTTAGATATATAGTTGTCCCTCAGTCTCTTGCCGTTTTGCAGTTCAAGGTTCCATTAAGCTCAAGATTTTTCAGGACCACATTCCCCATGGCAGCTGAGGTAAATTCCTGTAGGTCATCATTTTCATAAAATATTTTTTGTTAAGTGATTATCTTTACTGATTTTTGTTTTTCACTGACCACTTATCTGATGACCAAACCCTCAACGTTTGTCTTAAAATATAAAGGAAGGCTCACAGGAAACTGTTTTTTTCTTTATCATAAGCGTCACGATACAGTCAACATTCTGAGTGTTATCAATTATTTCATGTCCAACAAGTTGACTTGATTAAAAAAAAATATCCATTTTGGGTTCTTACAGATACTGATCAATGGGACCATCTTTGCAAGAATGTCTCCCGGGCAGAAATCCAGTCTGGTGGAAGAATTTCAGAAACTGGAGTAGGTTCTTTGCCAGTGCAGGTGGCATGAAGTGCATGAAGGCATAGCAGTCAGCGGGAGTGGAAGAGGCACAGGGAGTCACTCAGTTTGGCAAGAGCAGTGGTCCTTACCCTGGCTGCATGAGGCAGTTACTTGAGAGCTTTAGGAAAAATAGCAATACCAAGGGATCCCACCATTCAGGCATCCTGATTCACTTGTTTATACGGGGCTTGAAAAATCAGTATTGTTTTCACGTAAGTCAATTTTGCGTTGGATGTTGAGGATCACTGCACTAGAACCTAAGGGGCCTGAAAGAGTATGGGGAGAAATAAGACTGGAAAGGTAGCTCGAGCTCAGCTCCTGGAGGGGATGAGAATTTAGATTTTATTTGTATATGCTGCCATCACAATGATGACATAGGGAGATTCACATGACAAGAGATTCATGTAACCCCCAAAATACTACATTATTTGTATGCCAAAGCATTCTTTTCCATTCCAAATCAGAAAAATTATTCTCTTCTAACACAAAAGGTCTCCATTTCTAGACAGAATGGGCAGTCCAAATGAAGTGCCCATATCATTTGGGACCCTTTGTTTCCTGTTAATGGAACCCCGTAGAGTACCAGGTCACAACGACGTGATTCTGACTCCTACCCACTTCTACTCTGTCCTCCCATTCATTTGACTCTCTTATCAGGCTAGCTTCTCAGTTCGGAAAGCTCTGTCTTTTCAACGTGGCTGAAACCTAGGGAGTCAACGAGTTACCTCCATATAGCGGTGTGGAAGAAAAGTACAGCATATTCTATGAATGCTGTCAGAATGTGCATAATTTTAAAAGCGGGCTATCAATAATCATTGTCAATGATTCAAGAGAGTATTCACGCATCCTCAAAAAGCCATCCTGAAGCAGGAATGTGTTTTCTTTCTTCAGCTTCTAGGCCTGGCATTACATACTTGAGTGACTGTTGACAGGGTGGGTTTCCTCTCATGCCAGTATTAACAGCACAAACTACTATGACTTGTTATCACTTTAGACCTGATGAACACTTTCCCATAAAGCACCTCATTTAATACTCATAGCATTTTGTAGGCAAAATAATGATAATAATGGGAATAATAATAATAGTGAAAATGGTAAGATGGCCAGGTCGACATCTAGATCTGTTTTCAAATCCTGTGCCCTCTCTGCCATGCCATACTTATATCATATAATTGTGAGCACCTCTGCTTTACAGCTGAGAAAGCCCTCCCTATGCAGTGACATGCAGTGTCTACATGGAATACTTAACAGTCATTGTATAAACTGTGGAATTACCCTTTTTTTAGTCAAAAAATGACCCTTTTTTCAATTCCCTTAAATAATGGGTTTGAACCCTAATGATGGTCACTTGGTTTTTTTAATTAGAGAAATTAGCAAGATAGCTTCGATGTCCTCTACAATTAATGTGGTTCCCTCTTAGTTACTTTGTAGGTATGTGTGGTGATGGAGCCAATGACTGCGGGGTAAGTAGCTGCCAGTGTGTGTGGCCATAATCTCATGTTCAGTTACATGTAAGTCCTGTAGAGGTAGTACTCCTGGGATATACACCATTTCCATTCATCTTGATGGATAAACTTGCATTTGGAGGCTTCTGACCAAAGTCACACGATGAGTCAGTGGTTAGTTTAGGCTATGTGGGGAATAATTTGGTTCTGGAATTCTCATTTCTTTGGCTGGGTATCCTAATGCCATCTTTTTCTTACATTGCAGGCAGGGTTAAGTCTCTTGGTTAGAGTTTGGACATACAAACCACCTTGTGGCCAGCTTAACTGGCCTTTTCTTATGAGGCTTTAGCAGAGACGTCTGTGAGTCTGTGTGGGGAGTAAGCTGATTCTTTGCTTTCAGGCTCTGAAAATGGCTCATGTGGGCATCTCTTTATCAGAGCAGGAGGCATCTGTGGCCTCACCTTTCACTTCCAAAACTCCAAACATTGAGTGCGTACCTCACCTTATCAAGTAAGTAGGCACTTCCTCAAACATGGTTTCCTCTCTCTTGACCTTTGGTGCAAATCACATTGTTCTGCCTGGGAACAACCAGAGAAACGTTGTGTCCCTGAGTGGGGAGGGTGCTTTGTGGAAGAATGCAGTCAACCATTCTTCTTCCAAATGGATTTTCCAGAAGTTAAAAGCAACATTGGGAGAGCAGTGGCATTTCCAATGAATTCACTGATTAGGTTATTTTTAGAAGACTGGAGTCTGGAACTTGTTACTGCTTTGCAAGCGTCAATCATCCTCAGTTTTCAAATGTTATCTATCTCCTTTTCAATTTTTATTTGAAAAATATAGTTTTCACAATCTTAATTGACTTTTGCTGCTTTCACTAAAATTTGCTTTGATGCTCCCCGTCACTGCCACTCTGCCAAAAATGTACTTCTGCTCCATTATATTTGAATGATACAGTTAGTTAGCATGGTGGCTGCTCTTGGTTATTATAACTGACATGTGTTTATAGTTTAAAAATGCTGTAATGTCTACTATCTTCAAAACAGCTTGGAGATGCAGGAATAGCTATATTTTTTAACAAATAAAAAATTTGAAGTTCAGAAAATTTAATTGATGTGCCCAAGCACATTCAGCCATATGAGGTTAGAGATTGTTTTAGAATTAATTTTATTTAAATGTGGTTTATCTACCGATATACTCTTCCACCACCTTAAATAATACTTTAGCTAAGTCCTCCCAATTTTTTATTTATACATGCATTTGACAGATATTTAGTGAGTAGGCATTTAGTGTCAGAAACTAAGGGAGATTACTGATTTTGATAGGTGCTATCAAGGAAATAAAAAAGGTAAAAGGGAGTAAGATGGCTTTGCAGGTGGAAGTGGTCTGCTTCAGCTGGGAAGGTATGGGAAAACCTCTCTAAGGAGGTGGGGAATAAGGAGAAGCTACCTCTGGGCAGAGGAAATATCATGACAAAACTCTGATACAGAAAAATCCTAGTTTGAGGATCAGGTTTTAGTACCCCAGGAAATCATAATGGGCATGAGTTTAAACTTAAACTTAAAAAGTATAATGTAGTTTGGGGGCAGTGGCTGATGCCTGTAATCCCAGCGCTTTGGGATGCCAAGGTGTGTGGATCACCTGAGGTCAGGAGTTTGAGACCAGCCTGGTCAATATGGTGAAACCTTGTCTCTACTAAGAATACAAAAAAAAAAAAAAAAACAAAGAAAACAAACACACACACACAGACATTAGCTAGACGTTGTGACACATGCCTGTGATCCCAGCTACTCAGGAGGCTGAAATGGGAGAATCCCTTGAACCTGAGAGGTGGAGATTGCAGTGAGCTGAAATCCTCAGACCAGGATTTTTACTGTAGCAGAGTTTTGCCATGACATTTCCTCTGCCCACAGGTAGTTTTTCCTTATTCCCCACCTCCTTAGAGAGGTTTTCCCATACCACTGCACTCCAGCCTGGGTGATGGAGCAAGACTCTGCACTCCAGCCTGGGTGATGGAACAAGACTCTCTCATAAAATAATAATAATAATTTAAAATGTAAAAGTATGACTTAAACTCTAATTTTCCCCAAATGAAATAGATAAAAGTGACATTTCGTATGTCATCTATTTCATGCTTTAAATGTGTATTATTCAATCAATTGACAATAACACAAATGAAAATGCTCATCCTTTCCAGCCTGTTTCAATTTGATATATGACTAATTTAAGTGGGTGTATTGTTTTAGTCCAGTTTTAGAAAAAGCTGGGACTGCCAAAATGAAATTTGGATCAAATGTTTGCCAAGCTCCTGAGTCTTCATTGTGAAAATAACCCCCAAATCTGCGATTTTACTTAAATCCATTAGGTCACAAATGAAGAAACTGAGACAAAAGAAGTGATCTTCCATGTCACATTAGGGAGTAGGTATAAGATCTGGCACTAGCTCCCAGGTCCCCTGATCTGAGTTCAGGAGCTAAATCAATGCCTGCTGAAAGGACATGAGCAACTGTAAATCTGGACTCCATCACCAGATTAAGGCACTTGGAACTTGGCCTGGAATTGGTCTTTCTTAAAAATCGTTTTGTTCAGTTTACTGACAGCCAGCATCCACCACCTCAAGGTTGTCGATTTTCAGACAAACGGTTGTATAATGAGTTTTGATTTTTTTTTTCTCCTGAGCTCAGCTGAACAGCACAGAATAACTGACTTTATTTCTTTTCATTACTTTCGTTTCATGTCTTTTTCATTTCTTTTCTTACACAGGGAAGGACGTGCAGCTCTCGTTACCTCCTTTTGCATGTTTAAGTACATGGCTCTGTACAGCATGATTCAGTATGTTGGTGTTCTGCTGCTCTACTGGGTATGACTTGGGACTTAGCCTCTTCGTTAGTGTGAACTAAAGTAGCGGTCCACTCAATTTACAATGCCTCTTAAAGAAAGAGTACAAATAGGATATCTGAGCAGCAATAGCCCTTCCAAAAATATCCTTAAGAATTTTTAAAATAAATCAGAATTAGACAAATTTTTACAGGAAAAGTTGCTGATGTCAATTTTCTGATATAGAAATCTTTTATCTAGTGACAGCTGAGGATCACAACTAAATATATTGCTTTTTCTCTTGCTCTTACTTTTACCTGATTAGACCAGGTCTTTATCTTCCTAATTCCAGTGTGGCTCTCCCCTAGTCTACCACTCACTAAAGAAATACTTCTCCACATCAGGGTGCTGCTAAATGCTTCATAATTGAACCTCCTTAGAAAAATAAGACCTGATTATTAATGTTTGCCCATTTCAGTGGTGTAAATACTCCTACCATAATCAGTTTCAAGCTGTCTCTCCATTGTCACTGAACATGAAGTGGAGAAAAGATGTATAGTAGTATATCATTCTGTAGTACTTGCACCATATAGATACAAGAGTTGCAATAACCTCAAGGGCAGAGGTAAGAGTAAAATGTAGAGAAATATCTAGAAAATGCTAAGCTTTGAGTATTTATTAACTTTGGTTTTAGTATAATTTATTTAATGGCACATTGATTTAATTTAAATTTTTATACTGGCCTTGTTTAACAACCAGGTCACAACATCTCTGAAAATTTAGCAATTGACTTTTCAGTGTTAGTCTAAGCCAGCATGCCACTGGTTCCCTGAATATAGGGATTTGAAAATTGGCATATCATATCACGGAAAATATATACATCTTGTGATGACTTTTATTATTTAGCAACATATAAAAGGAGAAAAAACATGCCCATCATCTGTGAACTCAACAGTGAGCTTACTCCAAGAAAGGAAATTTCGTCATCTTTATATACTACTTTCTTTTTCCTGGGTTAAAGATTTTAGTTCTATTGCTTTCAGATTAACTGTATCTTTTCCTACTCACTGATAAATGAGCTAAAGAAGAATAGGCTATGGAAATTTGGCTCTATTTTAGAATTCTCAAATTATACTCAGAAGTAGAGTTAAGCATTATCTCCTTTCCACTAAGTGTTGGGCAGCAGGAAAGTGAGTTTCTTAAAATTGGTAAGACTTGAACTTTTTCCTCAAGAGTATTAAGATGCTTTGCTAGGATTTTCTAACATTTTGTCTAAAAACATTCAAGAATGCAAATCATGGGTTTACGTATTCTCATTTTCCATCAGTAAAATTTATGTAAGGGATGTATTCTTTTATTGTGCAAGTTGAAATCCTAAATTTTCTGTTAACAAGTAGAAAAGAGAACAGAGATGAATCTGGTAGGGGAAGATGTCCTCCTCAACAAATTAATAACGGTGCTCATCGTGTGCCCCTAAAGCACACGATGACGGCCCTCCTGAAGAGAGAGGGTTTCACAGGTTTGGCTTTGATTACTTCCACCAACACCATCACTCATCAGCTCAACCAGGCCCCACCCACAGCATATCCACAGTAATTACTTGAAAAACCCTATGTCTCAGAAAATAAATGTGATCAATGTCTAATTTCATCCGGAAGGCCACAACTTTTTGATCTGATTTCTTCTTATTTTCAGAAGACAAACAGCCTTTCAAATTACCAGTTTCTGTTCCAGGATCTGGCCATTACAACTCTTATTGGTGTAACAAGTAAGACATTTTAAAACTTTCTTACCAGAGGTGCTACCCTCAGCTGGCCTCCCTCTGCCTTGGAAAGCTTTGTCAACGGTGGCAGACAGCAGCTGCAACAGCAGCAATGATGTGTAACTTATTCCCAAGTATATGCAGAGAGAGGAAATACAATCCTCATTTTTGGGTATTGCAAGAAAGTATTAGCAAAGGAAAAACCTGCTCGCTATTTTGCTTTTTTCCGCAAAATGTAGAACTTCTATAAATGGTCACTAAACACTTAAAATGAAAAATGCAGCTTGAAAATCAGGAACACTAACTTCAGAGTGCTTTTAGGTATAGTTATAGTTAAATGTGCCCAATTTATAGAAGCCAGATGGCTTTTATATTTCTCATACCTAAATCTTAGCTTCTCAGGATTTAGAATGAAGATTAAAGGTAATCTTGCCATTGTATCTCTCTTACCCTCTACCTTCTAGTGAATATATAAATTGTCTTCCTAATTTCCGTATTTATGACTTCATTTTTTTAAAGCTGCCTTAGATTTACAACAAAATTGAAAGGAAGGTACAGAGATTTCCCATGTATTGACACATGCACAGCCTCTGCTATTATCAACATTCCTCAACAGAGTGGTACATTTGTTGTAACTGATGAACTCACATTGATGAATGATTGAAGTTTTGACATGTCTTTATTGTTTTGCTTTCGTCTTACTAGTTCAGTTAAAGGAAAATCTCAAACAGCACTCATGTTGGAACTGACTCAGTCATTAATTGCAACCATAGGTTGATTATGGATACAAGAGTTTGGCAAAACTCAGTCAAAGCATTTTATGAGAAACAATTAATAATAACATCATTTTCCAAAGTCAATAGTTTGCATTGCAGTTCATTCCTGGTCTTGCACATTTTATGGGTTTGAACATATGTACAATGACATATATCCATCATTACATTGTCATGCAGAGTATTTTCACTATCCTAAAAATCCTCTTTGCTCTGCCTAGTTATCTTTCCCCACTTCCCAAAGCTCCTGGCAGCCACTATGATCTTTTGCTGTCTCAATAGTTTGGCATTTCTAGAATGTTGTGCAGTTGGAATCATATATAGGCTTTTCAGACTTTTTTTTCACTTAGCAATATGCATTTAAGCTTCCTCTATGTCTTTTCGTAGTTTTATAGTTCGTTTCTTTTTAGTGCTGTATAATACTCTATTGTCTGGATGTCCCACAGTTTATTTACTCATTTGCCTGCTGAAGGATATCTTGGTTGCTTCCAAGTTTGGGCAACTGTGAATAAAGCTGCTATAAACATCCATGTGCAGATTTTTGAGTGTAAATAAGTTTTCATTTCCACTGGGTAAAGGATTGTGTAGTAAGAATATGTTTTGTTTTGTAAGAATCTGCCAAGCTGTCTTTTAAAGCAGCTAAACTAGTTTGCATTTCCACTGCCAATGACTTACAGTCCTATTTGCTTCACATACTCACCAGCATTGAGTTTTGTTAGTGTTCTGGATTTTGGCCATTCTAATAGGTTTGTAGTAGTTCCGTTTATGCTTTTACTCTGGTTTCCTCTCACCTTCTCAAGGATTTTATTCCTTTAATAATCTTTCTCCATTAATATCAACCTTTCTTTTATTTCCTAGATCATTCCCAAAGGCATATAATACATTCTCATATCTTCTTCCTTTAAAAATCTTCTTTGACCCCAGTCCACCACTAGCTACCACCCCCTTTATTCTGAAGCTTCCCAAACAGTTATATATACTGACTTTCTCCACTCTCATCTCTAATTCTACTGCCATTCCAGTTCCATTAGCCAGATCCTAACACCCAGGGGCATGAATTTGATTTTGGGGCTTATACAGTTGTTCAGTGGGAGGCAGCGGTATATTTGCAAATGTTTAACAAGTTGTTCTCCAAAAAAGTTTGAATATACATACAATATATATTTATTTGTTTCCATATATAATGGAAACATATATATACAAGAAACGTATATGTGTGATATATAAATATATATACTCACACACCTCTGTATACTTAGAAACATTTATATATAGAAAACACACACACACACACACACATATATGGAAACAACTTTATTGAAAAGAAATGTGTAGTGAGCAATTTGCAAATAATAACAAAATATAGAATACTCTTTTTTTTGGAGACAGAGTCTCACTCTATCACAAAGGTACAGTGGCATGATCTCGGCACACTGCAACATCTGCCTCCCGAGTTCAAGTGGGTCTCCTGCCTCAGCCTCCCAAGTACCTGGAATTACAGGTTCATGCCACCATGCTTGACTAATTTTTGTATTTTTAGTAGAGATGAGGTTTTACCATGTTGGGTGGGCTGGTCTCTAACTCCCAACCTCAAGTGATCCACCTGCCTCAGCCTCCCAAATTGTTGAGATTACAGGTGTGAGCCACCATGCCCGGCCAAATATGTAATACTCTTAATTGCAAATTTCATTTAGCCAATTGATTGTCACAAAATGCTTTCATTGAGTTTTGCCAAACTCTGTGTCCATATCAATCTATAGTTACAATTGATGACTGAGTTAGTTCCAACATGAATGTTGGTTGAGATTTTCCTTTAGACTAGTAGGACAAAAGCAAAACAACAAAGACTTACGTCAAAACTTCAATCATTCATCAGTGAAGTGGGAAACTTACTTGTTGAATCATATTAGTTCTTGAATGCTGGAAGAATATTTCCTCAGTTTAAAAAATACTAACAATGTAATGGCTATAGATGTAACACATTTTTAAGTTAAGTCTTCATTACTAACCTCAAGGACATATATAATACTAAAATGTAACAAAATAATGAGAGAGTTACTGGTTTTGAGTATTTATTATCTTTAGGTTTAATATCATATGTTATTAATTGCATGTTTATAAAAATTTACTTTTAATAGTGGCTATTTTGAATAGCTGCATTGAGATTTAGCAGCAAATTTGTCCTTATGAGCCAATATGAACCAGCTACAGCCACCATTGTCTGACTATGTACATTACTGATACATTACAAAGATGCAAGTCTTTAATTGCCTCTTCTACTTGCCTCATTGTCTTTATATCTTCTCATCATAAGCTTTATATCTTCTCATTATAATCTTAATAGCTATCATGCCAATTTATTTTAAAAACTTGCTTAAACACTCAAAACAATTTACTAAGTGAAGCATCTGCTCTCTGTACTTCAACTGCACCTCACTGATACTGCTCTGTCAGGGTTCACCAATTACTTCCTTGCTGTCAGCATCAGGAACCCCTTCTCTCTCTGTTACTGTTGTGTCTCTCAACAGCACTCTGTTTCCTCCAGAGGTTTCTTTTGACGTTTGTGCTACACACATTCCTGGATTACCTACTACCTTAATGAGTACAGCTTCCCCATCTCTTTTGCTGATCCCTGCTCCTTTACTTGTTCTCTGTTAGAGTATTTTAAGTCTTGTCTTTTCAGTCTCTGCCATCTCCATAAGTAAACTCAACCAATCCCATGACTTTAATATTAGCTATATGCTGATGAACCCCAAATTTATATCTCTAGCCTTGATGTCCATCCAGACCTCTGGAAATGTAGCTACTCTGCATCTAACAATGGATATTTAATAAGGCTCAAATTTCACATTCTCAAACAGAACTCTTAATTCCCCCAGATCTGATATTCAATATAATCATTATGTACTTACTGAGTCACTGGTTTGTGCTACTTACTGATCTAGGAACTTGGAATAAGACATCAGGAAATGAAACAGGGTTTCTTTCCACATGGAGCTTACATTTTACTGAATTGCGCTACTATCTACCTACTTGTTCAAGTCAAAGAACTAGAGTCATCCTTTATTTTACTCTTTTCTTCACTCATCACCTCCAATACATATGAAATTTCTATTGGCACTGCCTCTAAAACATACTCTGATTCCACACTGCATCTTCCGCATAGCCGCCATCACCAATCACTAAGCAATACCAGCTCTCTTGTGCGTTACTGTAACAATCTTATAGCTGATCTTGCTTCCACTGTTGCTGCCCTCTCCTCACTCCCATTTACACAGTAGTAAGAGTGTTGTTCTTAAATGTAAATTTTATTATTCATTCTTTTGCTTAAAATACTCCAATGGCTTCCCAGTTTGACTCAGTTCAAGTCTTACATGATTGGGCTCCTGACTACTTCTCCAACTACACCTCTAACTACATTGCCATTCACTGGCATGCCTGCCGCACTGGTCTTACTGCCTCTGGTACATTGTCAAGCTGTGGGCAACTCAGTACCTTTGCATTGGCTATTCCTTTTGCCTAAAGTACTCTCCCTTAGACATTTATATGTCTTTGACTTTTTCTCATTATGCATATTTTAGTCCAAATTAGTTCACTCCTCCAGAAAGATCACTTTAATAGTGAACAAGCCAAATGTCTATTCCACAACTCTGCTTTAGGTTTTCACAGTACTTTCCACAATCTGAAGTTACAATATTTATCTTTGTTTTCATTAGCGTTTTGCCTGCTTCTCCTCATTCAGAATGTGTGCTTCATGAGAACAGCATTTAGTCTGTATTGATCCATGCTATAATCCCAATACTTCTGACATATTAGTCAGAAGGAGCTTGTTAAATATTTGTTAAAACTATTGAAAGAGCAACCTTGGAGGCTTTGTTAATTCTGTTAGCAGAATTCCCCTTCACACGAAGCCAAATTTATCTCTAAATGTGTAACTTTCACCCATCCCAGTTTTGCCATTTGAAGTGTCACAGAAGTTTAATTTCTTTCTCCAGAACAGCCCTTCTGTTTGAAATTTGTTTCAAACAGAAAATTCTTTTTTTTTTCTTTTCTTTTTTTTTTTTTTTTTTTTTTTTTGCAGAAAAGTTATTTTATTTAGGTAGAGAAAGAGGAAAAAAAAGTAGAAGAAGAGAGAAAACTTCCACAGAAGAGAGAGAGTGTGTGTGTGTGTGTGGAAGGGGATTTTTATTTAGGTAGAGAAAGAGAAAAAAAAAAAAAGAGAAGAGAGAAAAC